GCAATGAGAAAAAAAAAATTAAATTATTTGAAATTTTAATAATGCCAACTATATGACAGTTAACAAGTTTAATTAGTTTAACTGATTGAACTTCGATTTTGAAAAAATTTCACTTGCATCGGATAAAACTAGTTTAGTCAAGTCAAAATACAACCATATAATTAAATTTATTAAACCTAGATTGAGTACTCCAATTTATTTAAAATTAATGAACTATTAAAATGAGTTTACCTGGTCCAAGTGAGAGAAATTACCTTTATTACATATGTTTAAATGGTTCAGGCAAAAGTAAAACTGGTTCCAGAAAATTTAATTTAATTAAACCGAATAATTTAGTTACTTAGAATAATTATAAAAATTATAACGGGTAATGAAAATTTTTCAGAAAAACTGCTTAACTGACCACGTTTTCTCATTGCGGATAAGCGTTTTGCAGTACTTAACATAGTACATACACACATTATGGAATTTTTTTTAAGGATCACCGCACTATAGTCAACGCCAAACAAAGTGGCGTGCACGTCATCACGATAAAAATTCCCCGACCTAATGCCTAGGTTTCTATCACAAACAATTGCTCTATTGCAGTTTCATATTAATGTGATATATAAATTGTAAAATGGTCATTACTCTCTTCTTATGGTTAATAGTCATATAAACATTGTTATTAAAATATCACATAAGTTGCTTTCTGATAAATTTAGACGCATTATGCGAAATAAAATGTTTTGCAAACGCTCCAATCACTTATCGACATGTAAACGCACTAAACCGATTTCGCAGCGTTGACACATTGTCACCTTGAAACTTATTTAAACTGGGAACTGACATTTGTATTAATTTTGACACTGAATCAACTTGTGGCATTTCAAATCTTTATAAATCCTTTGGCCCCACATACTGTAAATCAACAACTGTTTGTTTCAAAACAAAATTATTCATTTTACGAGTAGATAAAGGCAATTTTGGTATATAAAGATGCCCAAACAGTTAAATAGTCGGTGTAAGGAACTCGTGGCCTCGTTAATGCACTACTTTGAGCAAGAAAGGGACAACAACGGGCCTTTGTTGCCTTTAAATGCTGTTCAAGAGGTAGGTTACTAATAATTATATGTAATGTATATTAATAATAGTGAAATTTTATTTCATTTTTTGTAGCGTGTTGCTGCTGCTTTAAAAATTAGTTTAAGGACAGTTAGTCGTATTTCCGAGGGTGTGAAAAGTGATGCAAATTTAGAATCGCCCAAAAAAAGCGGAGTTATATTAAATATGTAACCAACACAGCGACATTGGATACAAGTGCCATTCGAGAAGTGATCTATAATATGCATCACAAAAGTAAGATCTTATTATAATAACTTATCAGAAATTTGCATTAATTTGTTAACTAAATTATAATGTCATATTACACATGGTTTCAGAAGAACAAGTTACGATACAAACTTTATGGTCTCGATTAAGAGATAGGGCATTATTTGATGGTAGTGCCACGTCTTTAAGGCGGTTGCTTAGAGATCTTGGATTTAAGTGGCTTAAGGACAATCCGCGACGAGGGCTCATGGAACTACCAAGTATAGCTTTGAAAAGGGTGGAATTTCTAAGGCAATACAATCAAGCCAAGGTTGAGGCCTTATACCAGTTTGTCTTCCTCGATGAAACTTGGATATTTCAAAATGGGACCATAGGTCGCTCTTGGCAAAATGGAAACCAAAAAAGCGTGAAAGCTATTAAAACAGATGGTAAAAGGTATGTACTTTTACACAATTTGCACTATAAAATTTAAAACTAATATATTTTAGATACATTATATTACATGCTGGAAATAAAATGGGTTTATTGAGGGTAGTGAAGCGATATTTTCTTCGAAAACAAAATTGAGCGATTACCATGGAGAGATGAACCAGGACAATTTTTTGAAATGGTTTCAACATCAGTTATTAGAAAAATTGGAGAGTCCATCTATGATTATACTGGATAACGCCCCTTATCACAGCATGATATTGAACAAAGTGCCCAACAATGCATGGACAAAAAAAAATATCCAAGACTGGTTGACAAATCAAAACATACCATACATACACAATGTTTAAAACAGAGCTATTGAGTATTGTTGCTCGGTACATAATGCTTCTTAATTATATATATTTTGGTCGACAGTTTATATTTCTTTTGTTTATTCCTATTCTTAAAATAACTGCTTTTTTAGAAACAAACCACCTAAAATATACGTGATTGATGAATTGGCGGAACAACATGGGCACAAAGTTCTTCGTCTGCCTCCTTACCATTGTATATTTAACCCTATTGAGTTAATTTGGGGCATAGCAAAAGGTTACTATAACAGACATATTGGTAGAGATGGTAACAGTGAAAAAGACTGTTTGGATATGTGGAACGAGGCTCTACAAACGGTTACCCCAGACATGTGGAAAAATAGTGTTCGACATACTGAGCAAGAAATTTTTAAATGGTATGAAAGAGAACGAATTTTTGATCGACCAGACATCGAACCTTTAATAATCAACTTTGAGAGTGATGAAGATTCAGATTCAGACAGCGCTGAAGAAAGAAACTCCGACTAACTTTATTGTACAGAAAAAGCTTACACCAGTAGCTTACCTAATTTTAGAATGCATTTTTCTGTATGAATTCTGTAAAATAAACACCATGCATAAAATTTGGAGGACCCCATTTGGATTTTTATTCAGTACCTTTAAGCTATCAATTAAATATGGTAGTTTCATAGTGTCATCTGATCAATAATTGTCATACTTAATGATTGTGCAAGTACAGATCTATAATTTTATTATACTATTATTTTTGTTCTCATTTGAGGTTAATATTGCTTATAAACCTAGATATGTAAATAATAAATTTTATTATTTTACAAAAAGTTTGGCAACAATGTAAATTTTTCAACACACCCACCTTGATGACGTGCACGCCACTTTGTTTGGCGTTGACTATATTCTTTAATATCAAGCCCAATCTCAAGTATACCTGTACTTCTATTAAGATGTGTTACCATAGATCCGCATCGGACTACGCGCACCAGTCGAACCAATCTATGGTAATGCGTCCAGTGTATCTAGATTGAAGTGCTTTAAATCAGAGCCATCCCCTAAAGGGAACCACTGGTCTCATTGGCTCTGTATTATCTTATTAGGAAGTGTAAATAGTGGGTGTGCTTAGTATCGACCACGGCACAGCGGAGCGGATGCGCACCTAGCATCGTATGTTTTTAGGCCATTTGTCCACCACTATATGCTTTGATGGTGAAAAAAGTTTTTGCGCAGTGCTGCAATTTTCAATGTTATCCATGGATATATGCAAGTGAAATGGATTCGCTTAGATGTTTGATTGTAATTTTACTGTACACCTATAAAGAAGTTTTTATGTTTTAGTCGCAAGTCCAATATCCACTATTCTTTTAAAATCACTTTTCAAGTTCGAAAAGGATGACAGAAAAACTAATCAACATATAATAAATATATATAAATATATTTTGTATTCTTGCTTCAAAATACAATCTTAGTTGATGACTGGCAACTTTTACTATGGGTCAGGTCTTGGTACCTATTTTTTAAAGCAGGGCTATATAAAGCACTTATAAATAATTAATTTTAATAATAATTTATAACTTACCTCAACTTGTGAACATGTAAAGGAAGGGATGCTCAACATTACTTAGTTAGTTCCTTTTTAAACATACTTTTCAAATATTTGTCTATGTTTTTTCGAATAAGGGTTTACTTTTGGGCACTATTCTGTAGGTACAGTGAGCAAGACACAATAAAGCTGACAAAAAACAGTTTCTACGGCATTTATATGATTTTCAACACAACGGGGCTTTTAGAGTGGCTGATTTCGAATCTGTGATCAGTTTGTCCCTCTGCGAACACTTGAAAATCACATCAAGGTCATATCAAGGAGATTCTCAAAAGAAGCTGAACAGTTGACCCCAATAGCAAGTCATTTCGGCTTTTCTGGTTAATAAGTCCGAATCAGCGGTCAGATTAGTCACTGTGATGGAATCTGGAGGTCATTTCAAGATCACTTCAAAGATTAACTCAAATTAAGTCTAGCATTCGAGTCCAGGCGCTTGTTACACAAAATTTTGCTGTCGTTAAGTCCAAATGAAAGGTTATAGGTTTGTCTCTAGTAAGGCGTTTGAAGGGTATCTAAATACCACTCAAAGGATGAATTCAAAGAAGCTAAATAACCGTGTCCAACCACCTGCAATAGGTATAAGAATATAAAGTTTTAGTTCTCAATAGTTTGCAGAATTTTACAAAAAAAACTCTGAATATTATCTGGCAGTACTTCAGGGTTCACCAGCGTAATGCATCCCAGTTGGGACAAGGGGCGGAACACTATCAAGAACCTCTTTGAATAATACTAGTATAATGAAATGAAGCTAAAACAGTAACCAGTTCAATTCACTGAGTACAAGAAAACAACAACCATGGCAGTTTTCTATTACATCAAATGAAAGTTTGTAACTTCTTTATTATGGTCTATATCCAGATGTTCAAATATTGCAAACACAACACAGCTGAGAATACAGAAGCTCTTCAATTGTGCCGTTAAAAAGCAGCGTCGAATGTTTCACCAAGAACTTCAAGATAGCAGTCTGCCATAGTACAGGTTCCTTGTCCAACCTACTCGTATTGTTTAAGCGATTAAACAAATAATTTTCAAGCATTTCCGACACTCTGTTTTTCCATTTTTTACCAGAATTTTGGATAAGTAGTGTGACGTCAGCTCCATTTCCGTCTATGATCTCCGCAACTCTAATGGCTGGCTAAATATAATTATGCATTCAGACTATAATGCACAATTTTGGCTTCCACGTTACATTCCTACAGTTTTATCTATCAAAGAAATGACGTAGACTATAGAGTATGGAATAGAGCACATTTTTTTGCCAGAATATCAAGAGTTTACTAAAAAAATTTTTTGGATGCTTCTCATTTCATATGAGAAGTGACAGAAGCTACCTTGCGCTCTAAAGGTCGAAGCTCTAGCGTGGCGTGCCAAGTTCTACCACCGTCTGTGCACAAAATGCCGCCATGGATGAGCCTGAAATAAATTTCTGTTTCAATGCAACGCTACAATATCCCATTCATTAGTAGAGGGTGTATTGGTTTTGACTTAGCACAACAAAGTTTGTGCCTGAGTTTTGATAAAGTTAACTGAACTTGGTACATACACTGAACCGTCGGCCAAACGGCAGTAGTATAACTGAACAAGTAGGTTAAATAACCGATGAATTAGCTTTCGACACAGAGCAACCGGATTCATTATAATAAGTTTTCAAGTATTTAAACAAGAATATATATATATATATATATATATATATATATATATATATATATATATATATATTTCAATGAACATTGATGTTCAAGATCATGATATAAAAAGATTAGTGACATGTTAAAGCCAAGATACTCATTCTCGTTCCGACATTACCACAAGTCTGATCAACAGAGTATCCAATTACAAGCAGGTTAAATCCGAAAATGTGATTATATATAAGCATATTTGTCTGAGATTTCAAGAGAGGTGACATTTCATTCCGCTCTGAATGAACAAGGAGATACGGTATCATTGATGCATTATTTTACTAGTTTTACTTTTACATCATCAACTGTAAATTCTGACATTCGGTTTCCGTCGGAATCTTAGAAATGATAATCTAATCTTTGATGTTAACTTAAGGATCTCTCGTAAGGACTAAGTTAAAGTAGTTTCTTTGCGGTCTCCTAGTTTATATGATATAAATGAACATCGTTTTGGTTTCTAATATTTTTGGAAATTGACTGAATGGAAACCAAAAAGGTGTGCAATTATATAGGTATATTATATACATAATATATTAAAATCGATAATATATTCTTTTTCCTATTGCTGTAACAATTTGTCACCGGCTCTATTTGTGTCAATGTAAAAATATTCCAATATTGTTGTCCAGATTTCGTTTATAATTTGTGGCGCAACTAAGAATGAACAAAATACCTTGCAGTAGCGTTTTGGTAATAATAGCTTTTCATAATAAACTTTTAAACAGGTGTCCATTACTAATACAGTTTTAATTATAGCATGTTATGCAAGTAATGCTGACCATGTTGTTAATTCTGGTTAAATATGTTGATAATATGAGTGATAACAATGATCAATGAGCTGTTATGATGATTCTCTCAAAATACCGGCAACCATCACAACATGGTGGATAATAACTACCCAATACTACAATACTGGACCACTATTATAAATATGGAAATAAGTATGGCAACGTAGCACACTTCTATATCCTGTTTGCACGTGCGGAATGAAAAGAGAGAAGTGCAAACAGATACAAACAGGTCATTGCAGTGGGCGACGATATCATTTTATCTTGCGATCAAATTGAACGTATGATCAAAATCTTTACATGCAGTGTATAAGTTTCCTGGTTTTCCACATAAACTCCACAATTTCAATAAAAAGATATTACACTAAGGAGGTTTTCTATAATCATCGGGAAAAACACGTACTACTACTAATGGTAAAAGTAGATAAAGGTCTTACAGAGCTCATATAGAGAAAAATGAAGTATTGACAGGTACAATGGGCAAAAATTAATGGAGGGTGCAATGATGCCAGAAAATACCGCTCTATGGTATCAGCTAGTGTGGACTTAGAGAGCGCAGGCCCTCTCCTCTGGACGCCCATGTCTGCCATTTTTTTTTTCAAGAAAATGTCATATATTGCTGTATCTTCGTGGAGGGTATTTGCTCTTAGAAGCGCGGCGTGGGAGCTTAAGCATGCAAGCGCCCCCACCTCCCCACTCTTCAATTTTTAATCGATGCTACTACCTTCCGAGACGAAGGACTTAAAGCGATTATGACTAGTTTTAACTAATCATAATCTGTTATAAGAGTATAGAGTTTGTGAACACCGGCTACCCAGCTACGTATGTTTGCGAGATTACAAATTGACATCCTGAAAAGTATGTTATATAGGTGCACTCTGCACTTGTATGCGTTTCAGCAAATATTATCCATTTTTCAATCCAAGAGCTAAGTACTTTCGTACGTCAATGAAACTCACAGTGGCGTTAAGGAAAATTTAACTAGCGGATAGGTAAGAAGCGCCAGGTTTATCGAAAGTCATTTCAGCAAATTTTTTAAATAATTTGCAAAAACGATGTCTAAAATAAGCTAGTAGCATGATTTATGTTTTGGTTATATGTGTAAAGACCAGCGAAATGTTGATGTAAAGACCTCAATGAATATTCTTGCATGGTATCTTACCCAGTGCATCCCGGGCGTGTAAGAATGCCCGACTTCAAACACTCCCATCTGCAACGGCGCCGGTCCTGATCTTTGGCAGTCCCCACACGACACCGCTACGCCGTACCTATGGCCTGGGGGGATCACCGGAACCGCCACAACTATTTATAACACCACCCACGCACTTCAACTGTCATCTGTCTTTGACAATTTTGGCGGGCACCCCCGAACCACTCCGAAAAATCCCGCGCGGTCACCGCCGGTAGCGCATGTCACTAGCACCGGAACTTCGGCAAGCGTGCCATTTGCTTAGCGCCGTCTAACTCGCCTCGCGACCGAAGTGTCTCGCGAGCCGGACGAAGCGCATGTGAACGCGCGGAGGCCCGCGGGAGACTCCGCCCCGAAAAGGGGGGGGCCTGGGGGACACCTAGTACAGCACGCTGGGAGAGCCCCTCCTTAGCTTTGTCCTATCCGTGGCTAGACGCGGGAGGTGGGTGCCGGCTGATTGTTACATTGGTTATTACATGGTTGGGGACTTGTTCAGTTTCTGTATTCCTCCAAAGATGTTTTTTACGATATCTGATCTTTAGTATGACATATTCCGTAGGACTTTGACTAATACCCATTAATATAGTTATTTCCGACAAGGAGTCTCTAACTACCAAAAACTGTCAAATATAGTCGTCCAAACAAATTAATGATCTGATGTTACGAGTAGATATAATCCGCTTCACTGAAAATGACCGTTGTAGACTCAGACATTCAAAAACATTCAAAAATACAATATCTAGATACATTTTCGGTATCTAGCGGTGTCTTTCCAAATCAGCATATATATCTTGATACTAATTTTTTGGTGCCTTTGAAAAATGCTTAGATTTTCAGAACTGCTAGGCTACACCATTTTTTAAGACATTACAATTTCGCGGGCATTTTTTTGTTGACTAGGTACTACCTTCAATTGACACAACGGTAGTTCCACATGTTTTATCATGTCGATTTGAATATACATCTTACAAAGTATCTCCTTACAACAATATGCTTTTAATGGACCGATAAAGTGGTAACAATAATAATAGCTTTATTAATACGAGTATTATTATTTATAGGATATATTGAAAGATCGAGAGAAAAGATACTAACGTAAAATAGACAATAAAGATTAACCTTTATCAAGAATATAACACAGGTTTGAGTCAGTATCATCATCCATCAATAAAAGTGTTAGCTGTAAATAGGAAATATATCACAGTATCACCTGAGCCTGTTCAAATTAGTTCACATAATCATGACTTAAGTAGTATATTTGTCCTTGCTGCAGAAGGCCTGAAGATCATATGATTGCGAGATTCAAATGTTGTAATATGAAATTTGATCTGGAATTGGAAGACAATCAATTAGATTATGGAACAGCTTATAGCCAAATAGTAGTGAGGAACAGTAGCTCCATATCTTTTAAAGTTGACATTTCTAATCTAATGCATAGTTCCTCATTGCTCGTACCTCTTGCTGGATATTAGCAGACATCATTAATGAATCGGTTGCTGCTGGTAAATTTCCAACAGCTCTTAAACTGGCATGGTTAGTTATGATATTTAAAAAAAGGTGAAAATTGTGATGTTGAAAACTATAGGCCAATCAATCATTAAAAAAGTGGTTGCAATGAAAATTGAAAATAACTTTCTTAAATTTGTTGTTATCACATATTCTCAACATGGTTTCAGGGCAGGCTACTCAACTGAAACAAGGATTATCGAGTATGTTCAGTATGTTTGTGATAAACTTGATTTAAGTAATTACGTAGTGAGTATCCAATTTGACATGTCTCAGGCCTTTGATTGTGTAAGTTCGTCATTTGTGGTCGATAAACTTCATCATGTCGGCATTCACGGATGTTCGTATCAATGGCTAGTTAGCTTTTTAGAGAATAGAAAATTGTATGTTACTGTCGATGATTAAAAATCTGATGAATTCAATTTAGATTGCGCACTTATCCTTCGGAAAATTACTTTTGTATGCAGACGACACAAATATCATTTTAGCTGACTCATCGCAAGATCGTCTTCAAGAAAAAATTAATGATTCGGCTAATGAGTTGAGTCAATGGTGCTTCAAAAACAGACTAATAATAAATACCTACAGAAAAGACGGTTTCAGTTGAACATTTTGTGAAACCAAAAATTCCGTCAAATTTTAGTTTCAGTCTTCAATGCAAGACAGTTGTAACTTCCAAAAAAACTGCTTTTTTTTAGGTGTAAGCTTTGATTGCAATTTAAGAAGGACAGAGCAAATTGATTCCGTATGTAAGAAGCTTGGAAAAAGTCTGTATCTAATACTTACGCTAGGGAGGATGTTAAACACCTCAGCATTAATGAATGTCTACTATGCGTGTGTACACTCTGTAATTTCATACGGCATTACTGCGTGGGGCCAGGCTAGTGAAATCTCTAGAGTGATTGTCTTAAAAAAGAATCATTCGCATTATATTTAACATACGGTCCAGATCTTCTTGCCGTGAGATATCTGTTAAACACAAAATACTTACAGTAGCATGTATATATATATATCGTTATAAATTTTTAACATATATTTTTCAGCAAAGAAATGATTATCTTAAGCATACTGACCTCGTTGACTACAGCACTCGTTATAAAAATAATATAGTTAGGCATGTGTCATAATGATATGTTTCATTCAAAATCTCGCATAACAGCAGGAACAACTTATTACCTCCGGAGATCAAAAACGTAAACTCCATAGAGCTTTTCAAAAGACGTTTGCGGAACAAGCTATCAGATTCCGGTT